GGAGGAGTGGCAGCAGCTGGAACCTGCCCAGAAGGACCTGTACAGGGGTGTCATGCTGGAGCACTACAGGAACCTGGTCTCACCCGGTAGGGAAAAAAAATCCCCCAAAAAAAAAAAAAAAAAAAAAAAAAAAAGAAAAAAAAACTTTTATAAAGTGTAACTTTGTGTATTTCCACATCTATGAATCACGAGCTCATAAGTTTGGTCCATTTTTCTATCATTCACTTAGTCTTTTTCTTATTCCCAGGAGCTGCTTATATAATTATGACCCTTTGAATGTTATACCCATGAGAAATATTATTTCCCATATCTATCAACTTTATTTTTAGCTTCAAGTAGAGCAAATTTTAAAACTTTCCATGTAGTCAGATCTGTTGATCTTTTTTGTTTGTTTGTTTAATTTATTTCTGGTCCTGAAGTTATGGGCCAGTGATGAGTAACTCAACAAAGCTGCCCCTTACCCAGTGAGACCAGGTTCCTGTAGTTCTCCAGCATGACATCCCTGTACAGGTCCTTCTGGGCAGGTTCCAGCTGCTGCCACTCCTCCTGGGTGAAGTCCACAGTCACATCCCTGAACGTCACTGATTCCTGTAAGAGGAAACCCACATCCGCTCATCGCAGGGCTCTCCTTACAGAGGCCTGGAGGAATGGCCAGAAAAGCCAAGAAAATTTAGGGGAGGCAGATGGGATGTATCTGAAGTGATTTCAGTAAGATGCAGGATTCTAAAGGGGTCACTCAGTTTTCTCTGTGTCTAGTTATATTGGGTTGGCACTCTGACACAGAAATAAATCCCATACGAGACATTCTGGAACAGAAGGTCACAGATCTGAGAACCAGATGGAAAGGAACCAAAGGCAAAGTGAGCCTAACTCAATGAATCAACAAATTAGGAGCACAGCAAAGGCAGAACCCCAGATGGAATCAGGGGCACAACTAACTTTTCTGAGCTCCTGAGCACCAAGCAACCAAGCAGCAAGCCCAGTGCTGGGATACAGACACAAAATTTCAAGAACTAGTTCCTCATGGCAAAGGCAGACTGACACACGCAATTTGGTAAATGCAATCATGAAGGTATGAACAAAGGTCTCCAGGTGCCTGAGTAATGCCAGCTGAAGGGGGTGCCCAGGAAGACTGAGTAGTCTGTGAAGAAAACTGGTGGTTGGGTCTTTAGGGGGAGATTCTGGGTAGGGAAGAGAGCGTGGATGAAGACCCAAATCTTAAAAGGCAGATTAGACTGCTGGGGAATGGAGAGAAGTCCACGTGGAAGGAGCAGTGCTTTGTGGTAGATGTGTCCACAGGCTGTGGCCTGTGGACTGAAAGAACCTAGCAGAGCAGGGTGGATGGTGATGAGGAGGAAGGCAACACTAGTCATTATGCAGCAGCTACTGTGTGCCAGGTACTACTCTTGGCGGTTGGTTCGGGTTGAATCAGACACCCCATTACCCCCCAGTTCATATGTTGATGTCCCAGCCTTCAAGGCCTCAAGAACATTACCTTATTTGGAAACAGGACTGCTGCAAATGTAATTAGTTAAAATGAGGTCATCCTGGAGTGGAGGTAGGGGGGCCTAATCCAGCAGGGCTTGTGTCCTTATAGAAAGAGGAAATTTGTTTGTTTTTCAATTTTTAAAATCTCAATAGCTTTAGAAGTATTGGTGATTTTGGTTACAAGGATGAACTATACAGGGGTAAAGTTTGGGATTTTAGTGCACCCATCAACTGAATCCTGTACATTATACCCAATATGTAGTTTTTCATCCCTTACCCCTTCCCACCCTATCCCCTTCTGAATCTCCAAATTCTATTATATGACTCAGTATGCCTTTGTATATCCATAGCTTAACTCCACTTATAAGTGAGAACACACAGCATTTGGTTTTCCATTCCTGAATTACTTAACTTAGGATAATGGCCTCTAGTTCCACCTAAGTTGCTGTAAAAGACATTCTTTTTTATGGCTGAGAAGTTTTCCATGGTGTGTGTGTGCATGTATGTGTCTATGTGTATAAATGTGAGATATATATATATATATATATGTATGTATGTATGTATTACGTGTGTGTGTGTGTGTGTGTGTGTGTGTGTGTGTATCACATTTTCTTTAGCCACTGGTTGATGGGCACTTAGGTTGACTGCATATCTTTGCAATTGTGAACTGCACTGCAATAAACATACATGTGCAGGTGTCTTTTTGATATAATTACCTATTTTCCTCTGGGTTGACACCAAGTAGTGACATTGCTGGATCAAATGGTAGATCTACTTTTAGTTCGTTGAGAAACCTCAATACTGTTTTCCAAAGAAGTTGTACTAATTCACATTCTCACCAGCAGTGTATAAGCATTCCCTTTTTACCACATCCACGCCAATCGATTGTTTTTTGACTTTTAAATAATGGCCATCCTGACTGGGGTAAGGTGGTATCTCATTGTGGTTTTAATTTGCATTTCAGAAAGGAAAAATTTGGATAGAGGCAGACATGCACACAAGGACAAGGCTGTGTGAAGAATGGAGTTACACCATTACAAGCCAAGGAACTGCCAGCAGGTGGGAGAGAGGCCTGGAACAGAGCCTTCCCTAGAGCCTTCAGAGGGAGTGTACGGATACTTAGATCAGGGACTTCCAGCCTCCAGAACTGTGACAGGATAAATGTCCTTTGTTTAAGCTGCTCAATCTGTGGTACTTATTTACAGCAGCCTTGAGAAACAAATACCGTGCTTCGCACGTATTGATTCATTATTAACTCAAAACAGACCTACAGGGCAGGCGCTAACATAATAATAATAATATGCCTGTTTAAAAGTGATTGTTTTTCATCCCTAAAGCCCCCTTTCACACTCTGCACAGATATCTGCGGGCTTTGATTGCAATCTGGTGGTGTTTCTGCCTTAGCTGCTCCCTGTGAAGCTCTGTCAATAGGGGGCAGTGGAGGGAGGCTGGAAGGTGGAGATGCAGAAACCGAGGCACAGAGAGGGTAGGCTCCTGGATTAGGACACACAGCTAATGAGTGGGACAGCCAGGCTTTGAGCCTCCTTGCAGGCTGCTGTCTCTCATGAACCAGCCAGAGGGGCAAGTAATGAAAACTTGTGGTGCCCAAACATGTAGTCCTGACTCTGACCTCTGACCCCCACCCTATCCCCACACCTGCTCTGTCCCTGTACTCTGTTCCAGCCCTGCTAGCCTTCCATCTCTCCTTGAATCTACCCCAGGGCACTTGAACTAGCTGTTTCCTCTGCCCAGAATGCTCTTCCTTCAGGTTTGGCCTAAGCTGGCTCCTTCTTATGCATTCTTTGGAACGTCTGAGCAGGAAAGGGACAGAATCTAATTTAGGTTTTACAAGTGCACTCTGTATTTGCATGCCCATGTTCCTAGCAGCACTATTCACAATAGACAAAAGGTGGAAACAACCCAAGTGTACACTGACAGATGAAAATATGAACAAAATGTGGTCTCTACATACAATGAAATATTATTCAGACTTAATAAGGAAGGAATTCTGACACATACTACAACATGGGTGAACCCTCAGGACATGATGCTCAGTGAAATACACCAGTTACAGAAAGAAAAACACTACAACAACCTCTCAAAAGGAAATACTCCCTCAAACACACATCCTTAAACAGTCCTCTCTGACACTCCTCATAGGAGAATAGACTGATACAATGTCTATGGAGTGGCATTTAACAAAATCTATCAAAACTAATATGCAAATTATTTTGAACAGTTTAGACTAATTCAGATATATTAACATACATGCACAAGCATATATGTACAGGTATTGATCGATTTACCACCTATGCAACTTACAACCATTCAACTTTACAACCACAATCGCTAGCCACGACTGCTCCGCGTCTGGCAGCGCAAATGTTGCCCAGCTGGGCGTACGACAGCGCGGACCAGCTTCCGGTAGCACTACCATCTCCGCATGCACCATTTCAACTGTACATATAGCCTACTCAACTTACGACCAAATCATGTTACGACCGGTCCGCGGTCCCAACCGTGGTCGTAAGTCGAGCACTAGCTGGATAAGGATATTTATTACAGCATCATATGAAGAAGCAAAAAGATTGAACACATCCCAAATGGCCATCAGTAGGGGTCTGGATAAATTAGGTCAGCAAATCCACCACAGTAAAATACACACAACTATAACAAAAAAAGGGGGGCAGTTCCTTGGCTGTAGACGTGGCATAATCTCCTGAATACACTGTTACATGAAAAAAAAAAAAATCAATGCCCAGAACAGTGTGTCTAGTTTGTTAACATCTCCATAAAAGGAAATAATGAAGAGACATGTATACATATGTGCCTATACAGGTGCAGACTTTTTTATGGAAGTGAATGCAAGAAACTGGTAAGAATACACAGCTGGTGGGGATGTAAAATTGTTCAGCTGCTTTGGAAAACAGTCTGGCAGTTCCTCAAGTGACTAAACACAGAGTTACCTTATGACCTCTCACTTCCATTCTTGGTAGACATCTAAGAAAAATGAAAACATAATGCCACACAAAAACTATACACTGATGCTCACAGCAATGTGATTTGCAATAGTCCCAAAGTGGAAACAACTCATATTGTCCATCTACTGACGAATGGATAAATAATGTGGTTCATCCATATGACAGTTCTGACACATGCTACAACGTGAATGAACCTGGAAAACATACCAAGTGAAAGATGCCAGGCACAAAGACTACATTGGATGCCTCATTTCTATAAAATGTCTGGAATAGGCAAAACAGAATGAAAGTAGATTAATGGATGCCTGGTGGGGGTGAAGGTGGGTTGGAGGGAAATTGGGAGTGACTGCCAACTGCCAATGGGCAAGGGGTTTCTTTTTGGAATGATAAAAATTTTCTAAAATATTGTGGTGTTGGTTGCATAACTCTGTAAATAAAAAGCACTGGATGTTAACACATCTACTTTATATGGGTGGATTTTATGATACATGAATTACACCTTAGTAAAGCTCTTAACCAAAAATGAATCTGGTAAGAGCAGGTGATGCCAGTGGTTTCAGTGTGGGGCAGGAGGGTGAGAGAATTCATTTTCCAGTTTACTAATTTTCAGATAGGTGCATTGTACCTACTATTTGTTCAATTAAAAGGTTAATATTATACATTTTATGTCTTTAAAATGTTCAGACATTTTATTTCTGGAAATCTATCCCAACAAGATAACCCAAAAATTGGGCAAATTGCACAAAGATGTCCACTCCATCTTATTTATATGGTCAAGCCTTTGGACAACCATAACACCCATGGCATGGGATTCATTAAATAACAGCCCACTCCCATGGCTGATTATATAGCTATTTTCATTAAAAGATTATGCAGAGCTTTTCCATGTAGAGTTGCTTCTGGGTTTCCAAAATTATAAATACCACTTTATCCCAACCACATGAAAACAATACACAGGAAAAAGACAGAAGGAAACGTATCAAAATGTGGACAGTAGCTGTATCAGAGGAGTGACACTGTGAATATTTTCATTTGTGTGTGTGTGTGTGTGTGTGTGTGTGTGTGTTAGCAGCCTTCAAGATAGCCCCGAATGATCGCAAACTCCTGGTATCCACAGCC